TTTGACTATAGTAATAAAAGCATATTATTTATACAAACTACTGTGTTTGACTTGTTTCTTTTCCCAGCTCTAATTGTTGTTGACTCCCTCATTCCGTTGCCCTTGTTTGCATACATGATGAGGGTATCTAAGCCTGTGACCAGCACTGTAAGATGTAGGAAGTAACGATCCTGATCTTGTGTTTCTGAATGCTGCTCACCTTCAGGCTCTGGCCTCCGGACCCCCAGAGTCTTCATACAGTCCACCAGGCAGACAGTGAGCTGCTTGCAGCCCAGCACGGACAGACTGCTGACCGACTCCATGATCGCCCGTCAACAGACCTGAAAGACAGTCAGGTTCAGCATGTTTTGAGCTTTTCTTGCATATAAATATTTTTTTGGTGCAGGCCAAAGTTAATTTTGTCAGTGCCAAAAGAAAACCCACCAAAACCCAAATAAAAATATTTTAACTAGTAATTAATTATGTGGGGATTTATTTACGCAAGTTTAAGTATGTGTCTGTTTATCAAATAGCCCAATAAAATTACCATGTAAGTGGAAATCTCTAACATAGATGCTTTGCCTTTATTGAATGGGACTAATTGTGCTTATGTGTGCAGTCAACCACCAAAAGCCCAAGACAGCAGTAACTTAAACAACCACTTATTACATTTAAGCCTCTTTGCCACTGGTAGCTACTTGACCCCGGTTCCAAGCAAGCTGAGTCGAGCCAAAAATGTGATGTAACCAGGTCATAAGAGTGACGCCTCCGGAAGAATCACACTCCTCATTTTTGAAACACAGCAACGAGGGAAATGGCTGCACACAAACCAACACTGTAGTCCAATGATGAGGTGAAGAGGTTTACTATCAGCTTAGCAGCAGGTATACCATTGCCTCGATGTCCTCAACATAACAATGTGTTGTGTTGCTTTGCATTGGTGTCCTACACAAATGACATCACAGGACTTTTGGGACGAATGCTATAACGAATCCTCCCACACTGAGGTTTAACAACCAGTGTTAAAGGTAAACAACCGAAACCAAGCTTCCTGGTGAAGCATAATTCAGGCTTAAGGCCACGTCTATTCATCCATTGTATTCAACATGGCAGCTTCCACAAATCACCAGCCACTGATATGCATTTCAAGTTTATGAGAATGCATCAGGAAGACTAATTAATGCATGTTTATGACTACAAAACTCTTTTTTTCCTATAAAACCAAAAAATAACCACTGACAGCTCCTTTACAATGTCAGTACAACAGGCACAAAAACCTGCAAATATTTAACATCTTCGTCAATAAGAAACGTAAAAACATTAACAATCCATCAATAAATATTAATAATAATGACGGTGTTTCACAGTTTACACTGTTTTTATCTGTTTTAGCTTGAGGCACTGCTCTGCTTTACGCTTCCCGAGTATCTTGGTAAGGTTTACTTTACAATAGCCCCGGCTTTAGTTTCCAATTCAGTGCTTAACGTGGCTTTGCGAACTAATTTTCTCCCCTTTAGTTAGCAATTTGAGGCTAACTGTAGCCCAGCTCCTGTTTTAGTAGTTTTACAGCACAGACACAAACTTCATGTCTGATATCCTGCTCTCCTTACACCGAGCACAAGAGGAAATCCCCGAGCACACAGGGTGAACTCACCAGAAGGAGTTTAGTCCGCTTTCTCCCCGGCCTAACTCCTGAGCTAAACCGCTCGTGCAGCCCGATTTCCGTTTCGTGTAAACATGAATAAACTTCCACCATCAATTTCTACTTTTGACATGCAGAGCTGCACTCTCCTCTGTTTATAATCTCATCAGGAAAAGAAACTGTGAAGAAGGACACACGGAAACAACATGAGAAAGAAGTCCGAAACGTGTTTGGTGTGTTTTTCCAGATTTACACGAAGAACGGGATGTGCGACCAATGAGCTTTGAGGAAGGGAGGAGAAGGCGGGCTCTTGTGTAGAACTGTAGCCAATCACAGCATGGATGGAGTTCAAACAGAAGGGTCGCGGCTCAGGACAAAATTGATATGAACGCCTTTCTTTACCCTGGTCTGTAACAGTGATTGGTCTGATAGTTCAGATTATATCAGGCGCTGTTCCTCTTATCAGCTTTAATTTTAAAAATCCACATACTTTTCATCAGTGTTTCAGTCTAATTACCACAATAAATTATTTTAATTAGTTTATTTGGGCTTTGTTTTCTTATTGCATATTTGTCACATTTCATGTCTCAAGTGTTCTATTAAACAAAGAAAACCCAAGTAAATACAAAATGCAAATTTTAAAGGATTTAATTTATTAATGGGGAAAAGAATATCAAAAGCTGATCCTATATGAAAAATTAACTGAGTCCCCCAAAACTTAATAACTGGTTGTGCCACACTTGGCAGCAAGAACTGCAATCAACTGTTTGTGATAACAAGCAAAGTGTCTTTTGCCTCACTGTGAAAAACCCACCCACTTGAGATGCCAAACCATTTCCATTCATCCATATATTATCTTCTGCTTACCCTCATCAGGGCGAGAAGCACGGTTCACCCTGGACAGGTGCACACACACACACATAAAACATATTAAGGATTGTACATTAACATAAAACTGTTGTCGAAATTC